ACCTATCATAGCCTAACTACCTCGGCTATTTGACCTCTCATCGTTCATTGCTTCTATTACGTTTCTGAAGACAGCTTCAGCTTCCTTGGTTTTATGTAACCATGGACGGTGGAGCTTGATAACATGTTACAATCTAGACCTGATACTCACGAATTAGGGCACGATAGATTTGGTTATCGCTGAATGATTACAAATCAGGAAATGAATTCCAACAATCAAAAGCTACCTTCTAACTAACTTCAGGTCTATCTATACTTTTGCAACAGATACAAGACTAAAATGACATAAAAGCCCCTAGACCTGTAAAACTTATTCTTTTATTAAAAGTACTGAATCAACTACTAATTCTTAGTTCTTCTTGTGTAAGTAAACCTCAATACATTTGTATAAAGCTATCAGTCACTATAGGTTTTGACATTATTTATAATCATTCTGGTTATCTGCCAGCCAGCCTTGGAAGGAAAAAACTGAGGAGTGAAATTTTCTTTTTGTTCAGTTGATGTTCTTGCACCTAATAAGCTTTATTTGACAATGAACAGGGATTGGTACAACCTAGAGAAGTCGAAGCGAGTTAAACCTTTCCGCTGTGGTGAGTTTGATGACTGCATCGAGAGGGCGGAAGCTTCACAGGGAATGCCTCCAAAGAAAAGAGAGAAATATGCACGCAGGGAAGATGCTATCCTTCATGCACTTGAGCTTGAGAAGCAAGTGCTGGAAAAGAAATATGGGAAACCAGGTGTCCAATCTAATAATACCAAGTTACTAGGAAAAGACACAACTATAACTCCAGAATTATCACGTGACAGTGGTAAACATGTGGATCTGTCTCTTGATGACAAAAGAAAGGGTCTTTCCTTTCAGTCAAGGAGTCACCTGAATGTAGATGATGTACCTGTACGTCCTATTCTTTTCAAGCATAAACTCTCTTCCTTGGCTGCTTCAAATGGTTCCCATAGGCATGCTTCAGATGTCCTTACACCAGAAAATACGGTTATTGTCGGTAGTAAAAAGTTGTTGGAGAAAAAAAAGGAAAAGGTCACAAGAGGGGAATACGGAGGAATCAGTTGGTAAGAGGCGTGACAGACATCGCCCTCTTGTTCAGGTACTCCTGAGTAGTGCAAAACTGCCCCACCATGACCACACTCACCCCTTGCAGCCACAGACTGATGGAGGGAGGAGCAGAGAAAAGTTGTACACCGTGCAGTGGGTGGCAATGATCCAGGTGACACTAGAGAAGCTATCCCTGACCAAGTGGAAATTCAGCACCCAAGTTTGAGAAAAGGGACGAGTCCTTCCCTGTTGCATTGAGTGAAGAAAACACTACTGAATCTAATGAAGACACTGAAACTGACTCTTCTGGCACTGAATCTCTGATGTCGGACACATATGACGCAATGGCTGCACTTTCAGGTTCATATTTTATTGTTTTTCTTCTGGATAATGTCATTGTTTTTCTATTTGCCAATGTCATATGCTTAGTGGTTTGAAACTCTCAGTTGGCCCATGGACACATAATTAATTCCATTGTTGTTGTGAACGTTGGCTTTTGCTTCTCAAAGCTGTTGCATGCATTAATTTGTGTTCATTCACACTCTGGACTTTACATTGATCCAGCGTGCCAATGATTGCATAATAATTACACATTTACTCTTCTTTGCAACTATACCGACCAACATAGTAGGATTGAGTCTAGATCCTCCCTATGCTTCTCTACAGCTCTTTGAATAAATCCCAATGTCATAAAAAAGCAAAAAAGACATCCTTATTAGCAACTGAAACACCATGTTCATGATGTTTAGCAATGTAGCAGGGGGATTTTTCTGCCCAAAAGCCATAAAAACCCATTATGAATTCCGAAGACTGTTCAATTGAAAAATGTATTGATTGTCAAGTATTTACATTAATATCGAAAGATAGTTATTCTCAAATATGTGTTTAGTATAAGTACTTGTTTGTATTTTTGTGTTGTGACATTTAAATTTTTGAGGCCCAATGGCTGCTTGCAAGTGTTATTCATATTACTGTTTGAATTGTATCGAGTCCCTCCTGCTTAGTTTTCTGGTTGCACTTGTTTGTAACTGTTCCTCTCTCTCTCTCTCTCTCTCTCTCTCTCTCTCTCTCTCTATTGCTTTTTGTCTGAACTTTTTGTTATTATTATTTTGATTTGTGGTTTAGATGAAGCTGAAGATGTTGAATTCATACCAAAGGCATTTGGAAGGCAAGGGGTACATGAGGAGAGCATGAGTGATGATGAGTCAGGAGGAGTTCCTGATGATTCCGTAGCAACAGTCTCCAAATGGCAGCTGAAGGGAAAAAGGAATAGTCGCAGTTTGAGGAAGAGAAAGGTAGCTACAAATTCCAGCCACTGGATGACGGGTTTCAATGGAATTGACACAAGTTTAAGTTTGAGAAGCAAAGCTAGTGGAGGCTTGCTAGACATGATGAGTTGGGATGATGATCCTGATCCTTACCCTTGTTGTTTGAAGGGATATTCATACTCATACTCATACTCAGGTGAGTACCAAATATACGATGACGATGACGATGATAATGATGATGACGACGATGATGTGAGGAGGCATGGGACCCGGATGTTGATTGATGTTGAAGTAGGAGTGCAATCAAGTTATCAGAGAGAACACGTGCCCATGATTTCCCTGATGAGCAAATTGAATGACAAGGCCATAGTGGGTCACCCTATTCCAGTAGAAGCCCTGGAAGATGGTTCATCTGATGATATGTTCCAAATGGAATCATTATTATTATTAGGTGGTGGTGACACAAGTGCGCCGCTTCAACCATGGAGGACCGCCAGGAGGACCGCCAAGTGTCGGGGGGTTGCAGTTGCACGGCCGCCTCAATTTTTATCAACATTAGAGGAAGAAGAAGAAGAAGAAGAAGAAGAAGAAGAAGAAGAAGAAGAAGAGGCGGTGGCCTCCTTTCAGTTTCAGGAGTATTATGATGAAGATGGAAAAGCAAGTGTTAATCGCAGCAACAGCAAGGGAAGAAAGTGGGCTGCACCAAAAAAGCCACAAAGGAGGACCACCTCATCTTGCAGCAGTCAGAAAATAAGGACGTTATCATCAATAGGCGGGACCCAACAGCAACAACAGCAGCACAATATGGATTTGAAAGCAGAAGGTGAACAAGGGATAGGGATGATGATGATGATGATGATGATGAAACCAGAGTCATTGCCCACAGCAGTTGCTTGTATCCCTGTTAAATTAGTGTTCAGTAGGTTACATGAGGAGCTGGTTGCCCCCCGCCATCAATAAACATGATGTAAATTGTATGTAATTGATTATATGCTTCCATTGCCAAAGCGGTGGTTTTGTTTTTCTGTTTTCATGCAAGAGGAACATAACATTCAGTTAGTGGTGTTTGGTTTGCTTTGGCAAAAAAAATGTTTTGGGGAAGAGAATACTGTAAAGATAGAAAGGGAGGTTGAAAATTCTAAACCTGTATGGAGAAAGTGTATATGCTATGCAGTATGCAGTGTGTTTGATATTTGATTTGATTGAGTTACAGGATGATTTCTTGGTTTCTTTTATGGGTATTGCACGTGATGAACTTGAATAACACCAAATGAGATCTCTTTTGAGAAGCTTCAGGTCTCTATCCATTTACCTCATCATCTTATCTTTACAGGGCAAATTACAAAAAAAAAAAAAAAAAAAAAGAGTATATTTTTGGCAATTATTGTCATTACACCACGGATACTTTATGCTTTCCAATCAAACCATAAAAGTTGAGACTTTTTTCCAAATTAACCATTCTAATTCTCCAAATTAACCGTTTTGACATGTTATATAAGGTCAAATTGTTAAATTTGGAAATATGTCTAAAACTTAAATGGTTTGATTGGAAAAAAATAAAGTAGAAGTGGTTAAATCGCAAAATTGCCCAAAATATAATGTTGTTTCTGTAATTTACCCTTATTTGTATCATCCACTTATCATCATATATCCCATATGTATAGTCAAGGATAAAAGTTATTCACATATAAGAATTATCGTTTCTCCTCTTTTTACCCATTTAGTTCTATCTGAGAAAATAAACGACATTTGTAAACAGATGACTTATGGAAAAATAGTCAATTTTCTGACTTTCTTTATGTATAGAGTTTGATGCTATAAATATAATACACAAATAAATGAAAGATAAACTGCTTTTTTTTTTTTTTTTGCAAGTTTACGTTTTTATTTAACAGAATTCAATTTTCAGTCTCTGTTGGACCTTGCACTGCATTCCACAGCAGCTGCAGCAGATCCTTTGCATGAAGATGTCACATGTTTAGTGGTCAGTTTTATTTATTCTTATTACAACATTCCACTTTGAGAAATGATTAATACTTTATTTATTATTATGGGTTTTCAGGACACAGGTTTTTGGTTAAAGAGATTGAGCATTCTGAAAGATCTTCAAACATGTGGTGAGACAATTTCAAAGCCTGATGTTGTAGAAGAGCCCTTGATCACTGGTATGGAAACCTTCTCTGTTAATTACAAGGTAAATATCAATACACCTTTTGATTCTTTCATCAAATCAATAAATTGCAATGTACTTTCAGTTATCTGATTATCTAATTATCGATTAAATGAAAGTATGTTGGTATTTTTGTTACAGGTTCAATGGGAATTATCCCTTGTGATATCAAGAAAAGCTCTGACAAAATGCCAATTAATTTTTCGATTTCTATTTCATTGCAAACATGTGCATAGGCAACTTTGTGCAGCTTGGCAACTACATCAAGTATGAGACTAAATATCCATGATATAAATATTTATTAAAAATTAAAAATATTTTCTTTTTTACTCTTTATATTTTTTTGTTTTTGTAGGGTGCACGTGCACGTGATATGCACGGAACTGCAATATCTTCATCATCAATACTATGCATGAATATGCTTAAATTTATAAATAGCCTTTTACACTATCTAATATTTGAGGTAAAAATAACCATGTTCTTAACTCTTAAGTTTATAAATAACAATGTACTTACATTTCCTTTCCAACAATAACAATACATAACCTGTAATTTGTATGCAAGATGCTTACAAATTTTATGTTATTGCTATTAATTATTATCAGTAAAAAGGTAAGCGTGTTATGTAAAAAATAAAGTATATTGTGTAAGTTTCATGCTATAAGTATGTTGTTATTATGGGTGAAGAAATATAAATATGTTTCTATTTCCTATTTTTTAGTTACTCCGATGTTAATGTGGTTATTTATCTTTCTTTAATTCTTTTGTCAACCAACAAAGGTTGAAGTGGTATTATATTATTATGATTGAATAAGGATAATGTACCCTAGCCAGCACAAAAGAGTCGCACCCAGCTCAGAAGGCTGGTGCGCCCGGCGGGCGCTCTGGCAAAAGAATAAGCGCCAGCCAGAGGTGTCCTCACGAGAGGCTCGTGCCCGCCAAGGGCGCCCTCAGCTCCCAGATAAATGGTACGGTCAGGCGATAAAGCAAGGATCAGAGCATTACTGGCAGGACCAATGACAGTGCTATGACAGATAGAGGAGCACGACCCTCCAATCAGCACCCCGGATCCTGTCGGCCCAGGCGATCCTGTCTCGTACGGACGAGCAGGATCGCTGAGTGCAAAAGGGAAACGGTCACGACCTCGGTAGGTAAGTTGTCTTCCCCAAGCAACACTTAAAAACACTCACATAACCCTACAGACTTAACCGTCAGAGCGTTTTTCCGGGAGCCTCTGTAGGGACGAGACTCAGGACACGTTTAAGTTGGCGACTCGGCGAGTCACCGCTGCTGGATGAAACCCTAAATTTCAAGGGTTTGCACTCTATTTAAACCCTCATTCCGCCCCAAACTCGTCCCCATTCACCCCTAGAACTCCCAGCATCATTTATACCCTTATTTCCTTGAGAGATTGAAGTGTTTTGGTGTGTTCTTGAAGATTTTGAGGAGAAGGAAGAGTAGATCAAGAAGAGGAGAAGGAGGTCAGGCATCTTTGTGTTATCTCAACGTTTTCCTTGAGGTATAGCTCGTTTCCCCTCTGTTTTCAAGCTTGTAATCTCTTTTAGCTTCATAAAAGTCCTTCTTGAGCTCTTCCCCAAGCTTGTTTGTGCTTTGTGGGTTGTAATAAGTTGTTAGCCTTTAGATCTAGGCATGATTTAGTCCCTGGAGCTTGGATCTAATGCCTTTATGGGGTCATATTGCATGAAAGCCCTAGATCTACCTCTTTTGGTGCACTTTGAGCCTTAAAATTCATATTGGTGAATATCTACACGTAAAGTTAGAAACTTTACGTGTGATTTGTGTCCTAGAAGCCCAGATCTGTGAATGACATGGACTGGAATCGAGCAAATCGGTGTATTTGATGGATGCATGGCTGCGACTCGGCGAGTCGTATATGTGACTCAACGAGTCTGGTCGCAAGTCACTGAATTGGTCCCTTTATGATGTACCGAGTTGAGCCGTGAGTCACAGGGGGTGACTCGGTGAGTTGGAAGCTGAACTCACCCATGATAGGACTCGGCGAGTCAATGCCCTGACTCGGCGAGTCCAAGGCAATCTTCATAGATCAAGAACAGACTCGGCGAGTCTTAGCATAAGTGTTCTTCGGATGAAGATGAACTCGACGAGTTGTTCATACAACTCGGCGAGTAGGATGAAGAGGTTGAACATCAGTTTAGAAGATGAACTCGTCGAGTCATAGCCTAACTCGACGAGTAGAAACAGGGACTCAGGACAATCGTCTGATAGGGACTCGACGAGTTGGAGAGCCAACTCGGTGAGTCGGGTCAACTGAAAGTTGACTCTGACTTTAACTTAGAGCTAGACCAGGCGTAAAATGGTCATTTTACCCAAAGGACAGTTAGCAGTGTTTGATTGAGTATGTGGTGGGAATTGCAACCGGAGGATTTCCGGAGCAGCAACAGTCAGTTAGTTCCCGATCAGTTCAACAGCTACTTTGAGGTGAGTTACCTTCCAGTAGTGGTGGGTCTAAGGCCACAATGCCGGCCCACCAGTAGGAGACGTATGATAGATGATTGTCTTTGTGATATCATCTAGGTTTGCTATTACCTGATATGTTATATGCTATCATGATACGTTATATGCGATAGTAGTAGAGTTCGGTTGTTAGGACCGCAGGGTAGTCAGACACCCCAGAAACGTCTGACAGTATGTGATGATATATTTGTATGTTTGCCTGTTATGTTATGCGATAGAGGTAGCAGGAGGGGACCAGTCCCCAAGGATCGGTTGTTAGGACCGATGGGTAGTCAGCACCCCATAATGGCTTAACATGGGTAGTCAGCACCCCAGAATGGCTTGACACGGGTAGGACGGCACCCCAGAATGGCCATATGGGTAGGTCGGCACCCCAGAATGGCCGTACCGGGTAGTCAGGCACCAGAATAGCCTGGCAGCACGCATGTTATGTGTTTGTATGGTATGTGGTACGTTGGGGGAACTCACTAAGCTTTGTGCTTACGTTTACAGTTTTGTTTTCAGGTACCTCTTCACCGAAGGGGAAGGAGTCGGCGCGGTAGCGGCACATCATGCACACACTCTGGTTTCCACATTTACGAGATTCACTGGGATTGTACTCTGATATTTTGATGGGATGTATGGTTTGACATTTAAAACATGGTTTGCGATGTGTTATGGTGTGATCAAAGAATGTTTTTATTTATTAATGTTTTCTAAAGTAATATTTTAAAATGAAATTTTCGGACTTGAAAATTGGGTCGTTACAGCCTCCTGCCGGGAAACGGCTGACGACCTTTCTTTGTGATCTTGTAGGAGCAACTCAGGAACTGTTGCCGGTATTTAGTGAGAACCTGAGCAAGGTCGCATCATTTGGCGTCATCCGTTTATGTGACAAAGAACGAAATCAAATGCACACAGTTCAACGACAAAAATGGCGTCTGACGGCTTCGGCGAAACCGACAGGACACCAGCTAGTCCAATTCGATCAATGGAGCTGTTGGACGAAACACCGCCGCCCATAACAACAAGCAGAGAAGTCCCGGACGAAAGTGGTTAAGCAGTAACAGTCGAACCATCGGGTGGCCGACAGCCACCAAATCCCGGAGGACAGTTTCCACCAGCAACCGCCTCAATGACACACCCATCCTAGCTGTCGCTTGTGTCATCGGGGGCGGACGCTTATACCACAACGTCGACACCGCTTTAGCAACAAACGCCGGTTCAGACGACGATGCCACCAGTCATATTCTTCCAAATAGGCATGGAAAATTGACCCATTGGGGAACCCAATTGACCCATCCCGATCAGGGATGGGTATTCCCTGCAAAACCGGGTAACGGGTATGGGACGGGGACCCCGTATAGAAAAAATTGGGGATGGGGCAGGGGCCGGGTATCCTATCCCTCCTACCCATATATACATTGATTAGTGATTTAATTAATGTTATTCGTTTAAGATTATATGTATTAGTTTATTATGGATATTAAGTATTTTAAGTATGCCCAACTAATTGATCCAATTTCAATTTGGCAAATCACATTCCACATATCCTCCTTAATAAATGAAAGTTTTTTTTTGCCACATGTCAATCTCTCATGAGTTTTGACACTTGTCATTTTGTGGTATTTTTGAAATAAATATTATTCACTTGTTAATTTTTGATTTGTTTTAATTTTTAAAATTAAAGTTATATACTTATATATGTAGGTATTAAATATCATATATATGATATTAAATTGCAATAAATACATTTCTTTCTTTCTTATTTAAAGTTGTATATTAAAAATATTTTATATTTACACTTTAATTTAATGTTTAATCTTTTTTAAATCAACCCGTGTATTACACGGGTCTCACACCTAGTACGTACAACATAAGAAATTCATTCGGCAATATTTAGTCACTGTGAACATGTGACAACATTGTCTTCTTGGTGATTTATACCCACAACTCCTTTCTTAGTATCGTTTCAGGTATTTCGTTCGATTATATTAGTTTCTTACAAGTTAGTGAATAAATTCGTAGACCCACCAATAAATGCATGATTTTTTTGTTTTTTGTTTTTATGTATATCGACCCTACAAATTACTCAGATGTATGTATGGGATGGGATGGTTTTTTTGTTTATACAAGACATGTTTATCTATGTTTTTTTATACTTCTCATTGTATATGTGTTTATAGAATATTTATTCAGATTGTTTTTTTTTTTTGGTTTGAGTCTCTAATAGATCTTAGTGACAACTTACAAAGTGTTGCGATTTCTTGTTGTAGTTTTTGATGGCTAATTTAGAAAATGATAAACAACCTGCCATAAACGATGAAAATGAAGATGATAAAGAACCAGAGCTTGTAGAAAATGATACGGCCACCGAGCATCCCAAAAAAAAGTTGAAATCCAAAAAGTTGAAATCCGCTGCGTGGAACCATTTTGATCCGATTTATGTTGATGATGTTCGTAGATGGGCGAAGTGCAAAGGCTGCAATAAACAACTAACCGGTAGATCAAATGATGGAACAACACATTTAAAAGATCATTATAGGATATGCCCTAGGAAAAATACAAGGGACATAAGGCAACATATTAGTTCAAGGGCAAAAAACTATTGATGGTATATCTTATATGAGTAAATATTCCTTTGATGCTGAAGTATCTAGAGAGGAACTAGCAAAGATGAATATAATTCATGATTATCCGCTCTTCATTGTTGAACATTACGGTTTTCGAAAGTATACAGAAAGTCTTCAACCTTTATTTAAGGTGCCTTGTCGTCCTACAATCAAGGATGATATAATGAAGATATACAAGAGTAAAAAATGTTATATCTTGAAATGTTTTGAAGAGAACGATAGTAGGATTGCTCTCACGTCTGATATGTGGACTGCAAGTAACCAAAAGAAAGGTTATATGACAATCATGGCACATTATATAGATGACAATTGGAAGTTACAAAACCAAATTATGAGGTATTCACTCTAATTAATGTTATTATTTATATTTTATAGAATTTTGGTTTATAGGAATATGATTTCTAAGCAAGATCTCATATAGTGAATTTAATGTTAATGCTAGATTTCAAATACTTATGGTAGTAATGATTGTGAATGTTATTTTAATGAATTTATGTGATGTTTTTTTGTTAGATTATTATGTAAAAGAAGTCCAAAACACCAATTAAATTTTCAAAATTTTTTATAATATAACGATTTATGTAAGAAAAAACAAGTGACATCATGTTGTAGAAGTTAATCCCTTATCATAGCTTTTAATAATTTATTAAAACAAAAAAGTCAAAAGGATCTTGCTCAACTAGCTTCATATGTGTTTTCCACTTTTAATCAAAGCACAAACCCTTCTAATTTTATTTTTTATTTATATTATATAGAATGTTAGATGAAGTTTTGAAGTGTTATATTTTGTT